TATTTCGACTTCTCCTTCACTATCTTTGTTCCCCACGAACTCCCTGCTACACACAATAAGCATGTCTTAGCCAATATTTTCTTGTTTTTCTTTGAATACAAATTTAAAGAAATATGATGGAAGTCTATGGATGACTATGAAATTTTCAAGTGAAGAGATTGTTAATATAGCCAAAGAGTGCACCTAATCAATTTAATATCCATAAATGCTGAAGAGATTGTTAACTGTTTTTTGTTCACAGAAATTGAATGTAACAAGATAAGTAGTTGGCAAAATAAATAAGTGCTAAATGCTAGTAGTTGGTAAATGCAATAAAAAAAATAGTAAAAAATAAGCCCACAAAAAGTAGGTGATAAATGACAAAAAGTAGCTAGAAAATGCAAAAAAGATAAGTATCAAGTTAAAAAAAATACCAAAACATGCTAAAGTTTTTGTCGTAAAGCTTTTTCAAAAAACTTCGGCTCAATGTCCTGAAGTTTTTTAGTATGTTTCTAAAGACTTCAGCACATGATAATCTGAAGTTTTTGTGTTGGATTCAATAGTTTTTGTCGTAAAGCTTTTTCAAAAAACTTCGGCCCAATGTCCTGAAGTTTTTTAGTATATTTCTAAAGACTTCAGGACCTGATAAGCTGAAGTGTTTGTGTTGGATTCAATAGTTTTGTCGTAAAGCTTTTTCAAAAAACTATGGCCCAATGTGCTGAAGTTTTTTAGTATATTTCTAAAGACTTCAGCACCCGATAAGCTGAAATTTTTGTATTGGATTCAATAGTTTTTGTCGTAAAGATTTTTCAAAAAACTTCGGCCCAATGTCCTGAAGTTTTTTAGTATATTTCTAAAGACTTCAGCACCTGATAAGCTGAAGTTTTTGTATTGGATTCAATAGTTTTGTTATGACTTTTAACCAAAACTTCAACTTAAAAAGCAGAAGTCATTTATTTCATGCTTAAGTTTTTTGAAACAAAAATGTACTTAAAATTCATGATAAAAGACACAAACATATTTGTATGACACAAAAGTGAACTAAAAAAATAATTAATGTATATTCACAAAATTCAAATTATGTTCAACCAATCCTCTAATTAAAAAATTCACAAAGAGTCTCTTCAAAATCTCCATAATCATGTCCTTCTTATTCTTCTGGAGTTTCATAGCCGCTATCATTTTTCCACTTTCCATGAGCCAAAAGATTGGCAGCCAATTCTCTCCTGAATGTCAATGACTAACTTTGATCGAAATTGACATCTTCTTTCTTCAACCGCATATCAATAAACTTAAGAGCAAATATACCACAATCAACACTACAAAAAACACATGAAAAAGAAATTGAAGAATCGTTAACACAAGGGCAAAAAATAATAAACATAAGATGCATGGTAAAACATATGCGAAACACGTACTTGTTAGTCTGTTGCGGTGTCTTCATCCACATAATTTGAAATTTTTCCACAGGACTTTCCCATAAAATTTATTGTGTGCCCCAAAATCCAAGCATTTTAGACAATGTGGGATCAACCGGGCATAAATTCTGACATGCTCAAGTGCACGATCGTATGTTACACTGCCCATGGAATCATACACATATATAATTTTATCTTTAAAGTCCAAAATTCCAAAAAAGTAGTGCGTAGATGTCTGGCCCGTCCTTGGCTTAAGTCGAAATAGAAAGAATACTTTTCTAGCAGATGCCCATGAGATACCACAGGAAAGGTCGAGGCCTTTTACATAGTTGGCCACCTTTTCATTCGTTGATTCTTCCTCAAACCAACTAAAGTCCGTAAGTGGCGGAATAACCGCTTCTTCTTCTTCAGCCTGTTGTTTGGATATCCTCTTTCTCTTTGATTTGCTCTTTTTTTATCCTGCATTCTCTTTTGCTTCCTTTTGTTAATTATCTTCATCTTTTCTTCTGAAGGATGAATACCATCCAGCTTAGTCATATACTGATCGAAAAGTAAATCTGTTACTGCACATCTTAATTTTGGATAACGTGGAAGGTGATAGCAATATTTTTTGCACATGTAATATATGCCCACATCAATATGCTGCAAATGAACAACAAATGATAACATTTGAAAATACCACTATGAAGTTTAGAAAAGACGTATTACAAAACTACAAAATAGCATGACAAAAACTTAAGCATATTCAGTTTGAAGTGTTAGGCTGAAGTTTTAGCAAATAAGCTAAAAAACTTTAGCACTTTACTATGAATAAAGCTGAAGTTTTTTAAATTACAGTGCAAAAACTTTACTATAAAAAATAAGCTGAAGTTTTGGGAAATACAGTTGAAAACCAATTCAAAAAACAAACTTAATAACTTACTTCATCCGCAAGATCAGAGTCAGGATCCATAAGCTCGGTAAAGAATGATTTTGCAATATCAAATCCAGCTAATCTGAATCGATTGGAATCATATTCACTGACATCCATCTCCAACCACTCTGTAAATCTTTCGATCAATCCACTGTCTTGATTAACATAATGGAAGGGACACCTTCTTGTATTCTTTCCTACTTTCCAATCTTGCCCCAGTTGCTTTTTTTTATAAACTACATAAGGAGATCTCAACCAAATACTCTCCATACGAATCTTTTTACCTTTTTTATCTAGTTTTCCTTTTGCTTGCTCTTCCAGCTGTTCCGTCACAACTAACTGTTGTTGTTCAGCAGCAGGGGAAAAACTATAGCAATTGTGGCAGATGCTTGACCAACTACCTGCTGTTCACGACATTCTTGTGTCTCTTCACGAACAACAACATCAGCAGAATTACCTTCTGGATCAGTCCCTTGTGTACTACCAAGTGAAAATGAACATAAATTGAAGTTAGGGATATCACTGGTGTCACACATAGGAAAACTAGAAATCTTCCTTCTCTTAGGTTTTGGAAGAAGTTCTGATGCATCAGATGAGATCTGCAAAAGCAAGGAAAATATAAACATAAATAAAACTGATAAAAAACACACATTAGGCAAAAAAACAGCTTGTAATTGAATTGCAGAAAATAACTACCTGGTCTAAGTGTTGTGGTGTTTGCATTCCAACAGATCCTGTATCTTCATGCAAAAAGAAAACTAAATAATACTGACTAAATTTTATAAAATAATACCAACACACTTCACACCTGTCTGTGAGGCAACAGGTGTGAATATATGTATTTCTCCTTTTTCATATAGCTGCATAAGCTCACCAAATTCTTTTTGAGCTGCCTCGAGTCTTTCTGAAAAATCATTCAAAAACATAAAAAAGAAAATAAAGTATGTAAAATTTCAAACTGTAAAAAATATACTTCAATCAAATATAATAAATTCATGATCTATAGAATACCTTGACGTTTGTCTTCCGCTGTGGTTTCCTCAGGCTGCATGCCTTTGTCAATGTCTTTAGCATTTACAGCTTCATTCATTTGTGAACCAACGTCGAGGAGCATTGGAGTATTCTCTGGAAGGTTTTTCTCAACTCTACCTTCATTCAATTCAGCATCATCAGAGAGTTTTTGAGTTGTGTCAAATGAAGCACAACTAGTTTCAACTTCCACTGCATATTCATAAAGAGGGTGAATAGAACAACTAGTTTTTCTATATATATAACATAGAAAACATTTATACCTGTAGTGAAAATTTCACTACAAGATATTATTAAAAAATAGTTAAAACTTCAACTCTAAGAAGGCTGAAGTTAGACAGTCAAACAAAAACTTCGACAGTTACAAAAAAAAAACTTCGACAGTTAGAAAAATAAAAACTTCAGCTCTAGAGCTGAAGTTCACCAGTTACAAAACAAAAACATTCAACAAAAAAAACATGCTGTAGTTTTTACAAAAAACACAAACACATGAAACATAACTTCAGCTCCAATCTAAGGTATCATTGAAATATTATAAACTTCACACTTTGTACTTGTAGTAACAATTTCCTGTGTATCACCACCTAGAAGTTCTTTGCAAATAGCTAGTAATCTTGCATACCGATCGTCTTTCCCAATAGTGCTAGACACATCACTCGCTTTCAGTTCTAAAGTACAAGCAGGTGCTTGATCTCCATCGCCAAATAAATTGCCTTTTTCAATATCACTTTCCAAATGACAACTCGGTGCATGTTTTTCAGTGTCAACAACTTGATCATCTAAACCTTTCTCAGTTGTTAACTTTTCATCATTTCCATCTTTACTCTGTCTACAAATACTGGATTGTTCCTCTACACCTTGTTGTTGAACATGTTCATCGACTTCAACAGTCGTTTCCTTATGTGTAGCATTATCATCTGCGACTTTACACAATGCATCATGAGCATTATGTTCTTCAGTCTCAACAACTTGATTATCTGCACTTTGTTTGCTTCCAATATTCTCAGTTGATAACTGTGCTTCATCATTTCCATCTCTGCTCAATCTATCAGCACTGGGACGTTCCTCTTCAAATTGTTCTTGAACATGTTGATCGTCTACAAAAGTCGTTTCCTCACGTGTAGCATTTACATCTGCGACTTTATCTAATGCATCATCAACCACATTAATATCCAATGGATGTTCGTAATAGTCGTTCCCCCTATCATATTCTCGATGGTTACTCAAATCAAAATTGCCATCATCCATTCCATTTGATTTGTTGACAATCTTAAACAACTGTTCAAACTTCTCATCGAAATATTCCTAGAAAAAAATTACTAACAATGATTAATCTGAATAACATCAGCAGAAATAAAAAGACTTCTTTATAAATTAGCTTACCTTCACTTTTACAAAAACCGCATCCACAAAAGCAGATCGCTCCTCCTTTTTAAACTTATCAAAAACTTCTTTCACGATTGTGCTTCTTTCTTTTTCTGCATGCCTTTGAACCTCCATCGTTAATCTCTAGAATAGACACACAACAAAAATTCAGATATAGAACAAAACTTCAGCTCAAAAACATGTTGTACTTTTACAAAACACAAAACCAAAAAACTTCATATCAAAACTTACAGAACATATTGTGTCAAGTAATTCATTGTCATCAAAGTCACTTGTAGAACGGTTAGAACGGCTTTGGGTACGAGATGATTTGCCAATAAAAAGAGTTCGATTCACTTCTTTTGATCGACTCCGACTACGTGGTGATTCACCAATAACAGGAGTTCGATTCGATTCTTTTGATTGACTCAAAGTACGTGGTGATTCAGCAGTTGAAGGACCCGCGTTAAGTACCTTTGAACGAATCCGGCTGCATGGTAATTGGCCAATTAAAGGCATTGAATTCAATTCCTCTTATGTAGGAATTATATCCAATACCCTAAAGCTGCGATATTTCTGTTTAATACAAAAAAATATATTATGAGAAGAAGAAAACTAATACGTCAACATATTAACACAAAGACAAAAAAAAGTAACCTACTTCATGACTACTGAACATCTCAAAAAGTTCGGGAAATTTAGGCTCTCCCACACATACATAACGTAACATCCTGGGAACCTGAGGGGTATCAAGGTACTCATCCTCTCTTATATACTTCTCCCGAATATCTGGGAAGCGCTCATAGAACCAAGCACATAACGGATAAGGAAATCCACCAAGTTTATACTCAGTTGCATGGAATTTGTTCTGCTTGTCCAATGCATGTTTCAGTGAGTAAATGAGCTTCTCATAAGCCACATTACCCCCAAGGATATTCAGCACAAACCTTATCATCTTCAACAATAGATGCATACTCCTACATCACAGATGACTCGGTCTTTTTCCCAAACAAAATAGACTCTACAACAAGAATTTCCATAAGCTTCACAGCATCATCATCGCTCTCGCATACGTGTATGTGATTCACAGCATTCTTTTGAATTTCATTCCGAGTCATAAATCTCGAATATCCTTCAAAGTCACACCCTTAGACTTACCAAAATAGCGCTTCAGAATATTGCTCTCTCGATTAATTGGTTTTTTAACATTATGTGATGTGATTCGCAAACCACACATAATGTGAAAGTCTACAAGGGTGAAGGAAACATCATGGCCAAAAATCTTGAAACTAATCGAGTCTCGATCATTCGTGAATATTCGAGAAAGACACAGACAATGAACCAACTTCATGCTGCATTTGAAATTCTCCATAGCCATAATGTATCGAAATGTACCATTATGAAGCTTATCTCGTTGTGTAGGAGTCAAGAAAGTTGCAATTAATTTCTTCAAATCGTGATTCCCCTTCCAGTAACCCTTAGAGTTAAACAAATCTCGAAACTCAAAATATCTTTGACCTGGTCTTGTAGGTGGAGGAGCAGGGACAGAAGGACCTGGGGGTATTACAGGTAGTCTAGGTGCTTTAGGTGCATTAGCTGCTTTGCGTACTTTAGCTGCATTAGGATCTTTAGGTGTTTTAGGTGTCATCTGTTCAAAAAAAGTAAAACATACTAAAAATAACATCAGGACATTATCAAAAAGATCAGTTAAAACTTCAATCTCTAAGAAGGCTGAAGTTCAACAGTTACAAAACAAAACTTCAGCTCTAAAGCTGAAGTTCGCCAGTTACAAAAACAAATACTTCAGCTTTAGAGCTGAAGTTCGACAGTTACAAAAACAAAACCTTCAGCTCTAGAGCTGAAGTTCACCAGTACCAAAACACACAAACTTCAACTCACCAGTTACAAAACACAAAACATTCAGCCCCATGCTGTAGTTTTTACAAAAAACAAAACACAAATTCAAATCCAAAAATAATGCCAAAACATTAAAAAAAACTCCAACTCCTATCTAAGGTATCATCACTTTAATAGTATCATCTATTTAACTCTCAAAATTTTTTAAAATTTGGACGTTTAATCACTGAAGAATTTATAGAATTTTCATCAACAACATAAAAGCTCATTCAAAAAACCTAAAAACACAATCGTAAAAGTAAAACTAATGCACTTATCAAACTAAACTAAGAAACTATTTAATCATAAATACATGACTATCAAAACCAAAACCAGAAAAAAACACAGAAAATCGTAAAATAAAACTCAGAAAATTAATGCAATGTACCTGTGATTAAATCGTAATGTGGGAACAACGACGAATAGCAGTTGAAAAATCAAAACAACGACGAAAACCCTTTGATTTCAGAAAAGAACAAATCAAAAAACGCGAATAACGGGAGAGAGAGAGACAGAGACAGTAAAGGACTAGGGTATACTTGGAGAGAAAGTAGTCTTTTAATGAAGAAGGGCAAAATAATCTTTTTAAAAGGCTTTTAACAAAAAAACGGGTACGAGTGCAAATAGAAAGACAAAGCGGCTACAGGTTAAAAAGGGGCGCCCTAGTGCAATTTCAGCCTTTTAAATAACTAAACAGTATGATCACTCATATGAAACATTTGATGAATGTAAAATATAAGGAGAAGAAAAAATTGTACACTTACCATAATTTCCCATTTCATCACAATATAATCCCCACCAAAATCGAACTCATGTTAACAGAGGTCAATTCCAAACATTTTTATGCTCAATTTCTTGTGTATGTCGCTGCACCTAAACCTAATACTATAAGGACATGAAAGCAATGCTGTGGTACAAGAAGCAACCTACACATTTCTTATTAAGAAAAAACTGTAACAAATGGGTACTAGTAAAAAATTACAGATCTTTGATTCTGCTGTCACTAAACTAATTTTCCCATCCATATGCCCCTACTGCTATGAAATCTCATATTTGGATACACTGCTATGGATTGCCTATATGAATACAACCAAGAACGTGATTCACAAAAAAACATAACAAATCACAAATTCCTGGTTGAGCAAAATAATGAATTATCAGCCAAAATCTAGCCAAACTAACTTGGATGATTTACAGAAAATTGTGAAGACATCAATGCACTATCTTGCCCGTGACTCCACAACTAATCACAGTGAGAAAATCAGACAACGGACCTGCAGAATATGGAAAAATTAGCAAACTGTATTTCATCATTCGATAAGAAATTAAGGTATGTTAGGTGTTCAATTCTCACTATGCGAAAGAGATTAGTAAAACAAGGTAGGCGATAATTGCATTCCAAGATTCCCAAACTCCAGTCTCTTACAATTCAAAGTTAAAATAATGAGGATCTTATTATCATTTTATTTAGGCGACTTAATTCTCCACATACAGCAAGAAGAAAGCTGTAAAGACAACCCAATACTAGGAGCAGGGTACAACAGAAAACAAAAGTACGGGGGACGAGATGAGATAACTGACCTATTCTTCTCATACTGCAAATGTCGCAAGAAGAGCATGCAACACAAACCAATAGATGATCACACTAAGCCGTAGAACAGGCTGCCGCATTAATGTCCGATCACAAGATACCCTAGAACTCAGACACAATATGGCTTTTGTTAGATAACAAAAATTTCAAATGCATAGAAAATGAAAGCAAGGGATGAAATTTGTCATACCATAGACCATCTATCATGTCAGTTATGGGCCTTGTAAACCGTGGGACAATCCTTGATGTCGTTAGAGACTTGAAACCATGAGCTGAGAGGAAAGAAAGGTGTTATCAGCAGTCTGAAGATGTGAATACCAACCAAACCACCCTTCAAAAGGTATAAGGAGAAGAAGACAAGAAGACTTCGGGAATGAATGTAACTAAGACAAAACAGGTAAATTTAGCAGTAATCTAGGGATTTCATCTTCAATACAAACAAAGATTCTAACAGAAAGCTCCACAACCACATATATACAAATGAAAAAAAGAAAAAACCAATACCCTCTTCCACACCCTGTGGCCTACCACCCAGAAGAAAAAAGGAAAGGAAAGAAAAGGGAAAAGAAAGGAATTTAGTTTTGTCAACCAATCATCGGAGTACCTTCTTAACACCATAATGTCTTTCTAAGATTATCTATCATCAGGAAGACTCAATCTAGTTCCCATCAGGAATGAGTATAAGCAAAATAAAAGAGAAATCAGACAAAGCATGAAACACAAGGTTAAAGAAGCGAAATCATCGAGATTATATAAGAGCAGAAAAAATGTTATCTGAAGATATGATGTTTGAAAAAACCTTCATGTGTTATGCTATAGCCTAACAAAGCCGCCTTCCACAACCACAGCGAACATAAGCTCAATCTCCAACCATTTGACATTAGAATCAATATTGGAGTCAACTTACCATATAACCGGAGCAACAAGATAATAAAATACAGTAAACATGTTTATCAATCAAAAAGAATGTTATCAAACAATCAGACTTCAATGTTGATTCTTCAAATATACTAGCAATAGGAAGTCATTACCCTTATCATCATCTTCATCTTCTAGTTTCCCACTCTCAGGATCCACATCTATCGCAACAGCTGCTTGGTCATTATTAGTTTTGCGCAAACTGCGAACTTGAGATGCAACAGTTCCAGGCATTACCCTTTTGTTGGCCTGCATTTGAAGAGCAGAAGAAAATAGTGCCAGTAAGTGTACTGATTAAAAAAAAAACAATAATGCCAAGAAGTATAGCTGCAAGAACATGATGCTTAGCCACATAATACTAAAGATATTATTAGAGATGAAATACAAAGACCTTTCAGGGCTAATCCATAGCATGCTATTATCATTTTCCAATTCTTTCTATACAAAGCAGAGTCTTACTACAGGTCCATAGCTTGGTGATATTAAATTAGTATTCAACATCTTGAATCTGAAAAAATTAACTTTCTCTACCATCATAAACGTTTGAAAATACATTTCAACTTCCTTTTGCTGTTATATTATATTGATAGAAATCCTGTAAAAACCAGCGATTAAACGCAAGGTCACTGTCACACATAATAATCCATATTAGCCAAGCACTACTAGATAATCATTACTACCACTACCGTCGTCCAAGAATGTGTACTCATTCGTTCTGAAATCAAAACTCAAAAAAGTTTACATATGTATATAATGAAGCCATCCTTAAAAAGAGAGAGACTTGGGCATGTGAAAGGCTGATAATAGAATCTGTGCTCAAATGTTGCCCAAATCCAGTTTAAACCCAGAGTAGACCATACAGATTCTAACCGATGATGTGTTAGACCATCCGCATCAATGGATAAGAGGAAAAGCAGAGAGTCAGAAACCGTGTGTCTTTGTTGTGTATCAAACCAAACCCAAACAAAACTTCACAAACAGCCCCCAAACTTTAAAAGGTTATCATTTTGATCCTCCCTTTTTCAACTTGTTTTTAAATATATACTTCATTTATGATTCCTTCCATCTTCTGCTATTGTCCAAAAATACAAAATAACTATTTATCTTTTCCTTAAGTTTTGTAATATTGTTTGATGCTAAAATATCAGTACTAGTCTACAACCACAACCCAGTGTAATCCAACAAGTGGGATCTGAGGAGGGTAAAGTGTACGCAGACCTTACCCCTACCTTCAAGAAGGCAGAGAGGCTAGTTCCGGTAAAAATATCAGTACTAGTCTATATTAGTATTTCTTTAGCAATGGTCCATATTTTTACATAGTAGAGGATTGTTATAGTTTCCCGTCTCCAAAAGAACCAATCTATACACATTTGTTCTCTGAGAAATTTTCTCTAGAAACAATAATTCAAACAAAAATTTCCCTCAAGAAGATCTCCGGAAACTCTCACATCAAATATAGAGCTCCAGATTTCCTGAGAAGTGATTCTTTCTTTTTTTTTTCCTAAAGTCGGAAGTGACTTTATTGTTTTCCTCCAGAACTCAAACTTTAGTAAAGGTTGTCATGAAGTACATATATACTTAGAAGAGAATGATGTGGAGAGCAGACTCAATAAGTATCCTCAGAAATTCATTTATTAGTACATCCTTCACACATTCTCCTTCCACCAAAGGAGGACAATGGCAGTCTGTTTAGTTATTGAGAAATCATGGCAGACATGCTCCCATTCTAATATCCCACACCTTCTAGCGTCTTTCTTTGTTCTCAAGAGCACCTATTCCTCCTTTTGCTCGCTTTTCCCAGAAATTTCATTGGATATTTTTTTTTTTGGGAAGGTACGTACAGCATTCCCCTGAATCAGTTCTTTCAGGAAATCTTGGTAACTGAGAGCCACAAAATCTTGCAGCATTTGGCATTTGTATTTTTCATGTCCTACATTTCACCTCATTGCGGATATGAACTTTAAATTTCCAGTTCACTGATATGTAAATCCCTTTTGGCTTATCTAATTTAATGCAAATCCTACCTGCTTCCAGTTTGACCTAGTTCATATCAAAAGCTAATGTTCCCTCTAGGTGTCTGTACAAGACTGACAATAGAATAGATGATTTTGTTCAAAGTACAAGAGCTCATCCAATAGGTATATGATGATAATATGAAACAAATCACTTGCAACTGATATGCTGGATCTTTGTCGTAGTTTTAGTTGATTACTAAATGGAGAATAAGGAACAGCAATCAAGCATATTCAGATTTTGAAGACAAAAGTATCTACAAAACAAATAAATCTTTTAATATGTTTCACCTTAATTGGCTGATATGTAATATTATCAATTATAAAACAGTTAGGCAGCTTGATGGAACCAAAAAATAAAATTGATGAATAGAACAAAATAAATGAAATGACATACCACTGGCTCTATCTCTATAATTTCCGACGTAGAATTTACTAGTTGCCCCATGTCACTGGCCCCTCGAAGCATGGTTAATTGAGATTCCTTGTCACGCAAAGAGTTCTCAAGAAATTCTTCTTTCCTAACCAGCTGTTCTACTTTATCTTTCTCTACTTTCAACATTAAATCTCTCGTCTGTGCCAGTGCACGCAGATCTTCCAGCTCAGATACCACAGACACGACCTGCTTCTCTAACATTTCCTTATATTCATGGATCTGGTTAATTTTTGCATCATCATAATTCATATCATGCGTCTGGACTCGGGAAATCATCTTGTCAACCCATGTCAAAAAGTCGCAGATTTCATCAGTATTTCTTTTGCTACCCATCTGAGCAGAAGCTATTGCATCATTAGTGCATCTTGTAACTTCTTGCCTCAAGAAAGAAATCTCTGTATCTCGCTCTTGTAATTGTGACTGAAGATTCTCAACCTCAGACAAAAGGCTTTCAGATAGTTGATGAAGTTCATCAAATTTGCTTACTGTAACAGAAAGCTTCTTCATAGTCTTCCCCCGGGAAACTTCAAGGTTCTCCATATCTTTATTTTTTTGAAGTAGGACTCTCTCCATTTCTTCAATCTTGTTTGTCATGTCTTCCATTTGGGCCTCCTCCTCATCGAGTGCTTGCATCAGTGCCTCATTTTCTATAGCCATACAAAATAGAAAATACTTCTAGAAGTCAGAGTTTGGTTGAAAGCTGATAACAAACAAAAGAATTAAGTTCAAAATTTCAAATGCTGGAAATTGAGCTCAATAAAATCACCTTGTTCCTTTGCAGCTAGCATGTCTTCAAGTGCTTTAACTCTTAACTGTAAGTCAGCAAAGCTGGACTCCTGATCTTGCAGTTCTTTTATCCTGTGTGCCAGAGAATCTCGCTCCTCCTCCATCAGGTCCACCTTCCTGTGTAAATCATTCATCTGAGATTTTGCTATTTGAAGCTCTTGTGAATAACTCTTTGAAACAGATTCAGCTTCCTTAATCTGACTAACAAGTTCTGCACATATTTTTTCTCTCTGTATATCCTTCTCCTGAAGTTCTTTCTGAAGATTCGATATAGTAGCTCTCATATCCTTTTGGCCAACTTCAGCAATATCACTTTGCAGACTCATAATATCTTTCAC